GCCAAACTTTTGCCCGATTTATATCTGTTATGCATCTAACTTGGTGCTTATGTCGTGCCTAATCAAAATGCTTCGTTGATAATAATTTTGGTATCCATTCATATATTTAAGATACATCGGATCATAGACTATCTTGGTGAACACTCATCCCTCGCAAAAATCTTTATGGTCAATTTTCAAAGAATCTGAAGCTTACACAAAGAAATACCAATGCCAGGTTGGAATCCAGCAGTTTCAAATTACGTAAAAACCCAATAATAGTTTCTTTGCAGCAAAATTCTCTTACCAACTGAGTATAATTAATGGATAGTGTCTAACTGCCACTTGAGTCAACATGTCCCAAGAAATCCGGCCATAGTCGTGCAGTGGCGTGACGTTTTGATGAATCAATGCAGTGTTGAATTAATGCCTAATGTCAACGAGACTTCGTGGAAAGGCAGCACGATGCAATCCCCGGTACCTGAGGATTGTGTAACTGGTAGCAAGCATAATGCATTGTGATCAATCCAAAAACATTATCCGATCCCAGTCATGTTTCTTGATGCTCTGGCCGTCGCAGATAATTAACGACGCCCTATCTGTTGCATCGAGTACGGTGAATAGGAGTAAAGGATGCTACTGATCAGACGTTTCCGTCTTTCGACCCCCTCCAGCGATTTTTATTGTCATTGTCCTGTTTCAACTTCACAGTTCAACTACAACCTCTTTCCGCGCACACAAATTTGCAGGGTTTTGCTCCGGCACAGTTGAAAAGTCAGGTCATCTGTTTCCATTTGGAACGTTTGAGCCTCGTTACGACTGGAATGCCTGGATGTGCGCGCATTGTTACAGATTGGCCAACAGGCAGCACTTCCTCGAACACTAGAGACCCTATCGATCAATAGCTGATGCTTATGGGAAACCCGCCTGCAAGATACCAACTTTGTGATTACGCTGCGACCCCCCAACATGATATTGGTGGTACTTTCCCCATGCTGCTGCTTTAAAGGCTAGTCGAGCCGGTGTGGACATTGCTCTGAGCCTCCGGACTGGAGCTGCTCTGATTGATTGGATCCCAACCAACAGCTGAATGTCCGCTGTTAGATTGGCTGGCTCGTTCATCTCTTCGAAGTCGTGCGAGGAAAATCAGCGCCTGTTTGTCACTGCTGTCTACGCGCCCACAAACTGTGGCGATGATATAGTAAAAGATGACTTCTATCACCAACTGAACGAAACCCCCCGTAAAAGAAAAAGTACAGATACCGTGGTGTTTGCCTACGTTGTAAAATTGTCAACGGATGAGCTTCGTCTGAGCGGCCAGCACATTGTAGGCAACTAATGATGATGGCAAGCGGTTGATACACCTGTGTGAAGATGCTCGCCAATTTCTCTGAACATAGCACCCGCAGAAAAGTGACATGGTGAACACCAGTCTCGGACCAGCCATGGACATAAATCGATCACATCGTGATTAGTGATAGCTGGAGAGGCTGCGTTTAAAACTGGCGCTCGATCTGGAGCACATGTGTGGACACTTGTATGTGCTGATCTGTGGGTGCGTTTCGGCGGACCTCCGCAACGACGCTGTGAGTGCATAAACACCCGTCAACTGGCAAACCCAGGCGTACTGAGTGCGCGTCAAAGTGCGCTGGCATCCTGGTTGAGTAAACGCCAAATGAACGTAGTTGAAACTCACTGGTCGCACCTACACCAGACGTCATTATCAGAAAGAATGATTTCATGTGGCAAATCAAACGGAAAACCCGGACAATGGATCTCCACGCAGTCTCTGGAACTTCTGGATGCTCACCAACGCGTTCCGGCTGAAGGCGAACACAATGATACTCGCGAAGATCTCAGGGCAAATCGTCGTGCTAGCTTGAAGAGAGACTGCGAATCCTGGTGGCTTCATCGTGCCTCGGAGATGGCAACTGCCACTAGCCCTGGTAACCACCGTTAATTGTTTTGTCTGCTACGGGAAAGGGGTAGCAGGAGACCTGGTGTTAGCGAGACCATACGTGACGAGAAAGAATAGCCGATTCGAAGCTTGTCAAAACGCTTTGAGCGTTGGGCCGATTACTTTGCAAAGCAGTTTAATAAACCTGAGTTATCATTTTCTTTTTCGGGCATTGATTGCCTTTCTCCCTCAGTCGTCTCCATGGATCCATCCTCACGCACAAAAGTCGAATGTGAGTTCAGAGAGTTAAAATTGCGTAAAGTCGCAGGGACAGATAGACTACCCGCAACCCACTTCAGATTCGAGGGACCTGCTTTTGTGGATGATTAGCTGTGAAAGCAGGCAATCACCTCAAGAGTGTGGAGCCGCTCCTTCATAGTCCCAATTTTCAAACGAGGCTCACGTTCGGAACACGGTACTCATAGAGGAATCAGTCTGATCTCCATCACCTCAAAATTACTTGACTTACTGGCACTCTTGAAAGTCAGATTCCCGAGGAGCAAGCCGAGTTTCGTCAAAATCGGGGCTGCACCGACCACAGGTTACTTTGCCACAATTAGTGGAGTACTGTCATATTTATTGGCGACGCACCCTAGTCACGTTTCTTGATATTAAAAGTGCCTCCGATTGGATTGCTTGATGTACCCTTTGGGACTATCCACTCAGGAAAGGTGTGTCCGATAAATAAGTAACGACTAGCACAGCGCTGTACGCGCATAGCTTAGGAAGAGTGCGGGTTTATAAACAAATAAATAGTTTATTCTCCATAGTATCGAGGCACGACTTATCAGGCGTGATCAAAATTTTATAGACAATGTTTCACAGTAGACACATTGTGTTGCATGGCAAACTGTCGTCGCCCTTCAACATCTCCAGCGGTGTGAGAAGGTTGCCTACGGTCACCTTTTCTCTTTAGCTTCGCCATCGACTAGGCATGGAAACGGCGTTCAGTGGACACGACTTACAAGGTATGGAGCTGCTTCCTGGTGAGCGACTTTTGACTTGAACTATGTGGACGACATCGCCCTAGTCTGTGAAAATTAGTTAAAGCTGCCAATCAGCACTGACTGTCAAACGTTCGGGCTATGTTTTGCACCCTCGAAATACAAAGCTCTTCCCCAAGAATATCAGCGAACTACCCCTGCACCGACACTTAGTGGTGATCAGTAAGATGTCATTCAGAGATTGAAGCATATCGCAGCTATATTAGCGCCTGTGGAATACAAGATGAGATCACAAACCATACAGAAGAAACTCGAGGCGCACTGATCAATCGCCACCACCTATGGCGTCCGCGCAACATCACTCTCACTATGAAGGGTAGAGTTTACTATGCAGCCGTCCATTCAACCCTCCGGTACGGTAGTGAATCCTGGCCTATCAGGTCTATAGACATAAAGAGACATGTTGCCTTCGACCACGGTTGCGTTTGCAGCCTAGCACATGTCTGGTGGGAACACCACATGAGCAACGAGCGTGTTGGACATCTCTTATTCGGTGCAGGAATAGTGAATAAAAAGCTCGGCACCGTCATATCACGCACCAGGCTCCGATGGCTAGGCCACGTGTCGTGCATGCCAGCAAACGTACTCCCGCGTCGTGCGTTGTTTGGGCGACCGGCGTCTGGATGCGAAAATAGAAGACCAAGCGATGACTTGGCCAAGAGGAATGGAGGCCCTCAGTTCGAACTTGGCGTTGGTCGGTGTCTCCTGACTGCCGGGCTGGGGTCTGAGGGAGGATGAACACGTTTGGTTGAAGACCCATTTGACATCTTGAAGAGTCGTATTGTTAGTTTCTTTACCCCTCACCCTCCTCTTTAGCTTTCCCCTTCAACAACGATCTCATACCTGATGCGCAATACGATATTTAGCATTATATCAGTTGCTTTTAATTTTCGCAGTCTGTAATGTTTAATATCGGATCACTGTAGCACATTAGCTGAGGTAGTTATCACACCCGCAGCTAGTGTGTATTGATGATGGTGATCCCATTCGCAACTTTGGTTGCGATTTGTTTAAGTGTGCATACGGATCATTCAAAAGACAAAAGTTGTCCACATGCGGATGCACGGCTCGCTCAACAGCTCTTATGCAGCAGTCTCTGTAAAACGCAAAAACTTGTACCTTATAAATTATCCAAAACATTGGCAAACGAAGGCGAATTCTGACAAAAAAGGCTGCTCTTTCCACTGGGTAACACATGCATGATGCAGTTTGTCATCACAAAGGGCACGTGTGCATAAACCAACTTCCAATTTTGATGTAAGTAAGTGCCAGTAAAGGGAAATCAGGGTATGCTTTGGACACTGGAAATGCAGAGACCTTCTCAAAAATTGTCATGTAGCCACCCATGCGCCGACTTTTAGTGGTGAGCACCGCTGCCTTTGGAGAATTGCTGATGTACGATGGCAACATCTTACTAGTATTGAGGACGTTAGAAGCAGGATTTTCAGATCAGGCAGACTTTGCTGGGCACTGAGCAGCATAATTTCACTGCGCTGACTTCAGTATCCTGGGCATGTGCTTCGCATGCCTACTCATCGTTTACCTCGCCGTGCCCACTTCCCGCGCGCAGATGTCGGCTTGAAGTGAAAGCTAGGTGGCCAACATATGACTTGGGCCAGAAGCACGAAGAAGCTAACAACCACAGTTAGTCCACACAAAGCATGAACCTTCTAAATCTATTAAACACTTTCAACGACTACCAGTTTTCCCCCTTTTGTTGTTGTTAACCACGTGTTGCGGTACTGCTTATTGTATATTGGTCAAGTGTTGAATAATATAATAATAATACAAAGTTAGTCGCGGTCAGGAGCACTCGACTCCCTGGCTGGGGGCGCAAGGATCACGAATACGCATGGCTGGAAACCCTTTCGGATTTGACAAGAAACTGTACGCAATGGCGGACCTGCTGTATATATATATATATATATATATATATATATATATATATATATCGTGAAATTGAGTCACTGTAGGGGGGATTAGGGACCCAACGCAAGAGCGTTCCAAAAAAGCGACAGTACGCCTACACATATGGAGGATGCGAATTAAGGGATGCTTACTTTGGGGGCTGTGCAGGTGTTCAACAAGGACTGTTGGAGGACAGACCTTTGGAAGGAGATGGGCGGAGGCGACACGGCAGTCGCGGTATTACTGATCCTGGAATTTAATGTGTGAATATCCGGTGCGTCAAACTCCATATATGTTTCTCGGAGTAGCTGGATGGAGTTGAGGAACTCCATTTCACCGATAATAAATTCACATAGCTCAAATTGAGCAGTCTCGCGGATGAGCTCATCTTCAAAATTGGATCTTCCTGGTAGAAACAGTTGGCCCGCACTGCATTGTTTGTTGTTATCCACAAAGGAGGATTCTGCTTCTGAGGAATCCCCTAGTGGTCGAGAGAAAAGGGATGCAAAGATTTGTACAAAGTTACGCACAGAAATCGTAATCGATGGAATTGCGGGAACTCTAACACAACTGTATTCGGCTAATACGCGTGTATGACCAGTTGATAAAAATGGTGTAGCAATCATTAGGGTCAGATTGGACTTTAAAAGAAAAGATTGGGTACTAAAATCCAAAAACAAGATCGTAATTCGTCTGCTTCGACCACCCAGTTCAGTCAGGAGATAGTACCGCAAATAAAAGAGTGTGCTAGTGAAAATGTGCGCGTTGTTGTCACGGAAAGACGGAGTGCAATCGAGAGAATTCGTATGGGTCTCGGCAAGGTATAACGGTAAGGAGGGATTTTGGACAACAGGCATTGGTGCTCGTGACGACAGGAGCTATGATCAGCTGCGAGCACATTTGAGACCAAAATTACCCAATTGATGGACTGATTAAATAAGCACCCGGCTATGAAGCAGAAGGTAATACCTTGCAAGGAAACACAAACAAGCCACCGGGGGAAGTAAGGATACAGCAGATCGGAGCGACTGACAACTATGATTCCCACCAGTCTCTTAAAATCCCCCAACCCATTAGAGCGCGATTTCACCGAGCGGACAGAACGCCTGCCCTGCATCCATAATGGGGAACGGTGAGAGGGCACTCCGTGGACTAAAAGAACGGAACTAGTCGACATATTTGGAGGGCAACGTTTTGTTTTTAGTAAAAAGGCGTCGTCGGGACAAGTGAATCAACAAGTGATCGGCGCAACATTTATGACAAACTGGGACGGTAATCCCAATAAATTACGTAGGTAATCAAGTTACAGGTGAAAGTGTCATTTCAAGTGTCACATCCCAAATGGCTCACTGTGCGTCATCATCAGACGTAAGCCCCTGTCAATGATGAGGATAGGAGTGATTTGATTTCCGCTCTCTACCTCAGATCCAGCCAACGACGATTCTCAGAACGGCCGGGTTAAGATAGCTCGGCACACATTCGATAGCTCCGTCCCATTTACTCTGTTTTTGCGGCTGTTAGCTTTGGCGATTTCCGACGCCTCAACTGTTAGCCTTCTGTGTAAATCGCAATCCATTTTTTAACTATCTCGACATTAACCAAGCCGATTTCATGACCTGACCAAACTTTCGCGTCAAAAACGAAGCGTTGCATTACAATTGTAACAACCGGTTGTTTGCAAAACCTGGAACCATAGATTCTCGATCGATTGCAAACATATCTTAAAATGTTAAACATAACGGTCTGTTTGCAACAATCCAGTAAATCGAATTGGTTCGGACAACTGTGCTTAAACCCACACCACAAACGTAGCTTTGTTTGCTGATAGAAATATAGGCAACTACAATGAAACAAGGGGAAATCGTACAATCATAAGAACGGTAAAGTATCCGGAGTAGTGAATATGTACATCGGACAGAAGACGAACTAAAAACCTTAGAGATCCAATAAGAACAGAGAGAGTACCCAGCTATAGCCTGCTGCAGTGCCGCACGGATATCGCAAGACAGTCATTGTAAGGAGAACTCGATGTGGGGTGAGTGGCATGGAAACTACTCCCCGAGGTGCAGTGGCACAACGAAAGGAGCCGAGTTTGTCGATCAAAAGGGACGGGAACTCAGATCAGAAGGAGTAGATAAGCAAACATGGATAATGAATTGTGGATTATATATGAATGGGAGAGCAGAGAGAAGACAAGCTGAAAGTGCGGAAAGGATCACACGCTGATATGATCGAACTGCTACAGCTACGGGCAGAATGAATCCGGAGGAGCAGGATAGCTTCACCAGCAACGTCCGAATTAATAACTCAAGTGCAATGGAACTGCAGAACGCGGAAATCTGCTTACCTTCCAGTTAAATAAGAATATGTATAAAAGGGGCATCAGCAAGATTGATCACAGCCGGAGCAAGAAGGGATGCATCATAAAGTAAATTTAACTCGTTTAATCGCCCCTAATAGTGTGGACGGTAACGAGTCCAGCCGAACGGTATAAAAATGAACCCAAGGGAAATAGAGAAAGCTGAAATATAACACCATACATGTGGATAATCGATTGCATACAGGAGGAACTACAAAGTAGGATCCAGGAAATATTAAGAGAACCAATGACCAAACCCTTGATATCAGGAGCAGTTTCCTGATAAAGTGACAGAGGTCCGAGTTAGAGTGCTATCAGAGGCTGCAAAACGCAGTGTGGAAAGGTGAATCATCGCAATGAGGCTGGACCTCACCTTGGTGCGATGGTCTGGGTGCCTCAGCCACCTACTGACCTATGCTGCGTAGCGCTTTTTGCAAATGCAGAGCCACTCATACCAGATTGGTCAATGGTTAGAGGGCAGACAAACACAGTCTCCTGTTTCACACATAATTTGATAGCGGACCCTTGTTCAACATTTCGCTCCACCACAAACGTAAGGTGGTATTAACACACGACCTTACCCAAACTGGTGTAGCGCGGGAATGACAGCCGATCGAGTTGAAACAAGTCTCGACATGCTCTCTCTACGCATGCGCCAATATCCACCAATGACGTGTTACTTTGTTAAGTAGTACCTAGGAGAATGAGTACTTACTTTCAGGACATAGCTGTAGATCAACCGGAATAGTTAAAGAAATAGATTGCCAGTAGTGGTATCGTTGCAGGTAAGCCAGAGGTTGCGTAGTTCAACCAAGTATGTGCACTAGAATCAGAGCCAGTCTAGACAATTAAGATTAGTGACAATGAAACGGAACGACGAAAACAGAACGAGATCGGATTGACAAGAGGGGAGAAGAGAGCAAGGTTACCAGATGAAAAACAGAGACAGAATACCAAAACGCTCCTGAACTCCTGACATGATTTCAGGTAGGGGGTTGGCAACGATTACATGGTGAATTCTCCGATATTCAAACCAATATGATGTAGGGATTTCTGGTCCATTCAGATGCAATTAAACTGGCTTCAGTTGGCCGGGTAGGAAAAATCACGCACACAATAATAACGGCGGGCAGGCTGAAGAAAGCAAGCTTGATGGTCAGTGGAGTTTCAGTGTGACTGCGGAGGGTCTGTTACCAAACACCAAATGACCGAGTATCGCACTACTCATCAGATATAAGCAAAGCTTCGTGGTTAACAAGTAGTAAAAATGATCCTATTCGGCGTCTTCAACGCTGGTACGCGATGCAACTGATTCACGCAGCGACAGATTACTATCTATTTTGTTGGGAGGTAAGCTGATATATCAACTACTTTTGCGCGAACAAGTGGTTAATACCAACTGATGCTTTGAGGATGCGCGAAGCAAGTCCTTTGGTGATCTGATCATCGAAATGGGTGAATCAATGGGTTACTCGCAGTGGTTTTTGGTGAAACTAATAACGGATGACGTGACACTGGAGTTTGGAGGGAAACAGTTCGCATTCTCAATGCGCCAAGTGTCTTGAAGTATGCTGTGCTATGCGTCCGCGTATTCAGCACTGTTTGTACGGGAGCTGAGTTGAAGCTGTGGGGTTTGCATATTATCTGTCTGTGATTCGACCACTTGGCAGAACGCACACTTGCCATGAAGCATACCACAAAGTTATTCACAATGGCTTCGGTCACAGTGCTTGTCGTGGTGAATCGGTGCACGGTCAGAGGAGTCCCAGTAGGGAGATATCGATATAAGAAAGGGATTCGCTCTTTTTAATCTTCGACGTACAGTGGTACAAACCGGTTCGACCAGTTAGGCTTGAGAAGGTTCACAATGTTAGGTTGGGTGAGCGGTCAGAGGTTATGAAAGGGATTACTTAGAAACACAATGGAAAAGATAAAAAATCAAAGTAACGATAAGTGAGAAAATAACCTCGTTTCAAGTTGGACGATCAAAGAGTTGAGGTACCAGTAACAAAACACAGCTGATACACCCGATGCGAATAATCACCAGTTCAAATTATGTGCTGAACGGACGGAACACATTCATTCATTGTTACATACGCTACCTAGGGGTGGGAGCATTTTAGCTATTGTACCGTAATACAAGAGAAAAAAGAGACGCAACACAGGCGCGCCAGTTGAGACACCAGTAACGGATGGACACCCTACCGGAGAGCTATCAGCCGTCTATTGTGCCGCAAAGAACGTTAAATTATGCTTCAGGAATGAGATCGCTGTTGGAGAAGGAGTCTAAGTGGGAGGGAGAAAGAAACACACAACACAAACGCAACTGAGGTCGGCTCCCATCTATATCAACAAGTGTATTCCGCCAAACGAATTTCGGACCCAACTAGGTAGCCGAGAGGCTGCAACCGAGGCCAAGTTCGAGCGAAGGGCCTACATTCCTCTTGACCAAGTTATCGCTTGGTCTCCCATCTTCTTCTACAATCCACACCCCTGGCGCGCAAACAACGCACGTCGCGGGAGTCGGTAGGCTGGCATGCAAAACACTTGGCCAAGTCATCGGAGTCTCGTACGTGAAATAACGGTGATGAGCAGTTCAATTCTTCTTCCTGTGCCATAAACAAGGCGTCGCGATGTGGTCAATTTGCGTCCATGGCTGGTGGGCGCCATGTCACCTTGCGGCGGGTGGTGTGTCAGAAGCTGGTGCTCGCGAGAAATAGGCGAGCATCTTTACACAGATATGACAATCGCTCACCGTCATCATTAGGAGAACCTACAAGGGTGGATCAACAATTCCTCGGCACGACCAAGAAGTAAGTGAACTGAATGATAAGTAAGATTATTTTATAACATTATCATATCCTGGAAGTAGCAGTGCCAAGTATCAAGTTTCTATCTTTTTTGCATGCAGGTGATGATCCGTTGAACTGGCCTTGGTTGCTCAATATCTAAATATGGACAAATATGAATGTCGAGCTGTGATTAAGTGCCTGAAGAAAAAGGGTATGAAGCCAAAGGGAATCGTTACTAATGAGCAGACGACTTTGGGTATGATTCTACTTGGATCATGGCAATTAGATTCCAAGTAGCCTACCAGGCTACCAATACGTAGCTCGCGCGCG